TTTTATCCTATTTTAAACCTATTTTAATCTGTGCTTCACCGATTCAGAAAAATAAAATCTATTTAAAATAGGCTATTTTTTGTTTCAAAAAAATCTATTTATAATAGCTATAAAATACAATTAAAACAGAGTTCTAATAGGTTTAATACAGGATTTGTATATGTGATAGCAATATTATAGGGTTAAAAATAAAATAGCTTTTCTATAGGAATAAAATAGAAAGTAAAATAGGGATAAAATAGGGTTAAAATAGTGTTGATTTTCGCAAGGGATATTAAATATAACATAAACAACTATCTGTCGAGGGCTATTACAAAACATTGCCCATAGTTTATTTATTTATTATTATACCTTCATTAACATTAGGGCCATTTATACGAGACAAAATAAGACGCCACTTACATAAGACGTGACTTAAATAAGCGGAGTTATCGCATAAATGGCTCTCTAGGGCTTTATTCTTATTTACTTGCTATAGCTATAATGTTGTTTCGGTTTTTTTTTTTAATATGCAAGGCTAATAATTTTAAGTTGTTTCAAGTTTCTGGCATGTGTAGTTAAACTTTTTGTCCAAAATTTCTTATTTAAGACGCAACTTAGATAAGAACAGCTAAAAGGCCTGTTCTTATGTAAGACGCGTCTTACATAAAAATTTTGTACCTTTTATACGACAAACTCGCGTCTTATTTAAGTCGCGTCTTATTTTGTTCCGTATAAATGGCCCTATTGATACACAATCACTGAATATGAAGCTTTGGAAGTATAAACTAGACATACAACAACATAAAATATGAATAAATGCTCCAAACAGACTTTTTATATCAAAGAAATCAACATGTTCAGCTTACATTTTTCTCTTTCTTTCAGCTTATAATCCTTTCTACTTCACGTATCTTCCCTCGTTTTCTTGGTGGAGCGTTGTTATACAATACAACTGAGCTAAAATTGTTTAACTCATTCTCATCCGGTGGAAAAGTAGCAATTTCGAGTGGTGTTGTTTCAAACGCTTATATCTCTCAAACTATACATCGCACGGAAACAGAAATTGCATCGTTCGAAAGAGGAGGACTTCTGCTTTCCAACGATACCAATTTCAATTTCATCCGGAGCTTGGTTAACGATTTACTCGCATAAATTTGCATAAATTATGATATAAAAAAATGTTGCAATTATGCATAAATGTATTTAGCGGTTCAAATTTCAAATATGTCAAAAAATTTATGAATATGACTGAAAGACACGGTTATGATCTACAAGTACCCGAAGTTTCATGCATGTAGCATAAATAGAAATATTTTTATTGAATTTTTATATAAACTAGGTAGTGGAGTAAAATTTACATTTTGTGCTCACATGAAACAAATACCTTTATCAAAGGTCCTTTTTTATTGCTGCAACATGTTATCAATACAAATTTCCAATATTTCTTACTCTCCAAAGATAGTATGGCACCAAAATAAGTCTGTGATACCCACAAAAGAACACTCAAATCATGATTAGCAAAATGTCTTTATTTCTACAATTACTACATACATTCTTAGATAATCATTACACCATTGACTTTAGTTATTAGTGGCATAACCAGCCTCAAAATTTGGTCATGCTATTCAAATTTGAAATAATCACTACTCATTTGTTTAGAAATTGATTGTTTTCACAATCTAGAACATGAAAATATTTGCAAATAGCATGACCAAGTGTTGTTGGGCTGGCATCATCATAATTAGTAGTTATAAAAAAGTAATGTTTTCCAAGGCAGTAATGTTTGCTAAAGCAGTAATGTTTGCCAAAGCACATAATTGGATTATGTGGTGAAAATATTTCCTTTATATTGTACTACAAAAGACCTAAGACTGTAACCAAACTGATATCAGATCACCACGTCATACCCAAATCTGTTGCGATGAATATCTGGACTTCTTCCTGTATAAATTTCAAAGTCGCAATATAACCATTAGGATTGTCTGCAGCAACCCACAGATTTATTCCCCACATAGTAGGTCATCTAGCTTTCATGAACTGCCTAACCCCCAACCTATTTCTTGATTTGACAGTGTGTTTGTCTGCAACAACAATATTCTGTGACGGCTGGTACAGTTGTTGATGCAGTTTATTGCTGTAGTCTTTAGTACAGGATCTACCATATTCACAAACGCCATAAGCGCTTTGTACCTAACCCGAGAAATTATGTCTATTGCCCACAGACCATGATATAAGGTTTTTACACTCCAATAATTTTCAATCTCACTGTCGACCTTTAGCAAACCTGCATATTATACTAAAAGGCAATCAACCTCTCAAGGTTGGTGGACTGCAAGACCCTTTTTTATTAGTATATGGGGATAACTTTTGAGTTATTTGTATGTGGGCATATGTATTGGTATGGCCAGGAAACTACCTCCTGAAGCATTCCCTTAGTAAAAAAGAGTCGAATGAACTCAAGCTCACAGTTCATTGAGCCGAATGAACTCAAGCTCACAGTTGATCGAAATGGATCCCGGACATGTCAGTGAGGAGCAAAATCTGGGAGAACATTCCTGGCGTCAGGATCATCATATCCGTCATGTACTATGGGGCCTAGTGGGGATGCTAGACAGGGAGCTTTCGAAACCTTAGGTCCTAATGGCTGGGCTTCCCTCTACCTCTACTCATCCCCCTACCTTCCCTCTGGGTTGGTGAGTGGGGTTCTCATGACTCATCAGAACTCTACTTCCCTGAGGCTATGAAACAGGAACAGCAGATAGGAACAGGATCAATATATTCATCAGTGCAAATAAAAACTTTTATAGACATGGTGCCACTTAAAATTATAATAAGAGCCAACTAGTAAGATATAAGTATGAATACTTGGCTATTATGTATGTAACAAACAACCAAACATGTGCTCAAGGCTCATTTTACTTCGCCTAGGAATCAGAGATTTTTATGCCTAAAACACCATAAATTTTCGTCAACAATATAAATAAATACCATTTATATTTGTCAATTTCAGTATGAAACGATTATTTCAACACAAAAAAGCGATATGAGGACATACTTGGTCGTACTAGTGAAGCTATACTAAATACAAATAAATTTACAACGCCATGGCAACGGCAAAACATTGAAATAGAAATTGTCTAGAAATGATACAAATACTTGCCTTGAAACTCCAGACACGACTCCCAATGCCAGGTTGAGATACTTGTCTTCATACGAAGACATTCCATCATTACTAGCACTATCAGTTTGCAAAATAAAGCCAAAAACGTCTTCAGAATGCGATTCAAACAAAACTACAACACAATACATTTCAACGCTCGTGCGTTCCCGTGCGCGATAATCAGGAAAATTGCTCTAAAAGATTTGTTTTTCTGCCTAAGCCAATCAAAATCCGTATCTAGGGTAAACAAACACTCCGGAAGTGATTCCTGCAGTCTTTTACCAGGAAACTGTAATGCTTTACCAAGAATTTGGCGTCCGAAGTTGGCCGAACACTTTCCGATCACGAGAATTGCCATAATAGGCTTAGATTATTTTGCAATTTCCCGAGACTGCTCCGAGCTATAGAATGGAAGATGGCGATTCTTTTGGTATATTTGTTATTATTATACGTTGAAAAGAAGCAAAAAGACGAGCATTTGAATCAGGCGGAACATTCAAAATGCAACAGCAAAATTGATAATGTGTCATTTGCATAAATTTCACCGCATTGATCATTTCAAGGTAAGAAATTCGCTTGAAATTGAGCGAGAAACAATAAAATTATATGAATATTTCTGAATATATAGTATCGATCAAGCGGAATTTTTTGGTGGTATTTTCGTATGTCTACTGCAAATACTCGCGAAGTTCTTTAATATTTAATCTTCCCGTCATATACGTCGGAAATTAATATTGGCGGATCGAATTGAGTTAACTCGACATAGTTGGTTAATCGCGTGTGTGGACGTTTAGCCGCCATTTTGAATAATTTTCGTAAATTTCGCGGTTTCCCGCTGTACCAACTTTGGCTCAATGTCTTGAATTTCTGGCCATGTGTACACAGTGCTTGTAGATCTTATTCGAGGCAACTTTCTTTCATCTCTGCTAAAGTTTACAATTTTGATAAAGTCTTTCTTCTTAAAGGAGCAGTGTCATCGCGTGCGCATCTTTTCTGTGCATAACAAAACATGTTCGGAAATTGTCGGAAAAGCGCTCGGAACTATACGCCGCCATTTATATGAGTGGACTGTAAACACTTCAATAACTCTTCAACATGGTGAGTAAAAATTTACATATATTTACATTTTGCATATATTTACACGGATATAGAGATGTAACCAGTTTACTTCGTTCAATACACGTGTAGACAAGCTGTTGCGATTGCAAGAGTTCATGCAGTACCAAAAGAAAGGCAAGTGGGAGTCGAGGATGTCCTTGTAAAGGAAATAATGTGGAGTGCAATGCTGAGTGTCGGTGTGGTACGACCAAGAAACCTTGCCAAAATAGGGTAAGTCTATTTAAAAATCTGCATTATTATAACCAAATTTTTTTCATACGAAAATTCTGAATTTCCAATGCGGTTTTTGTATAGGATACGGCGAAAAACTCTGAAAGAGAGCGAGACGATCGAAGAGGAACCGTGGAACATGTGCGCAAGGCTTTCGGCTCAGCACTACTCAGGGTCAGAACTCACAGAATCTAGAAACTGAGGATGCATTGAGAGAGAAGGAACACGAGAATGTAAAGGTAGGTTTTTTACAGTATATACCTGTTTACATATAAACTGTATGTAGGCTTCCACTAAGGCTTGTAGCTAAATTTTAGAAACAATATATGGTTTTTACAAGCTTTGTTGTATAATGAAATGTTTTGCTTGCATAGAGATGATGCACATTGTGAAAGGTAGTTTTAGTACGATTGTCTTTTAGTAAACTATAATTTTGTCAACCTGATACTCAGGGTTTCGGGTTTCGGAAGTGAAAACCCTGAGTATCAGGCATAGAAATAATAGACATAGAATGCGTGCTAATGACGAATCATGTCTCCACTTTTGCAGGTGCGTACGTGCCCTTTTGAATGCGCCATTTTGAATTTTGGCCAGGAGTGCAAACTACAAAGTATAAACAAAGCTAAAACTACGTTTTCATCGTCAAAACGTTTTGTCTTGTTGTCTAATTTGTAGTTTGGGGATAGATTTTCAGTTCCTCGAAGACACAAACTGTCAAAGCAAGAAAACAGTGAAAATCGTGCAGCCTTTTAAAAGCAAAGTAGTTTCGCGAAAATATAATTTGCTCAAAACATTTTTGCATGCTCTAAACGTAACTGTTTTGCTAATATATTATAAGATTACAAAATGATAGTTCTTTCTTCGTCGGGTTTAGTTTTTCTGCAAGGTAAACGAAGTGTTCTCATGTTCTTGAAACATTTTATAGTTGTCGATAAACTGTAAAATTGCCTAAAAATAATCGTCGAAAACCAGGGTTTCAAAAGCGTTGCCTCAAGCTCAAGCAACATAGAAAAATATGAAATATTAATTGTGTAAGTTTAAAAAGATTATTGAACTCCATTTATATTGTAAAAGAGTTGAAATATTTGTAGAACATACCTATTGAGTTGAAAATTTGTCTTGATCTTTTGTGTTTTGTTTTGGCTTGCACAACAACATAACGTTGAAAATTTATTTTTAAACGACGATTTCTGCATATATTTTGTTCAGGACTATTGCTTTTCGTAAAAAAACCCACTGGAATGGGTTTTTAGACACTGTTCCTTAGTTTACCAAACTTTTTTTTCATTTTAAGTCCCAATATAAAATTTTTTGCAAACTTTTCAGTTGAAAAAATAATTCGCACTCCGTGCAACCACGCGAAATTCCCTGCCTCAGTCAGACATTCCAACCTCCGAGTCCTCAAAACCGGGACACTTCCCAATTTTCCCATTTAACTTAAATAAATGCCTCTCTTGAATAAATGCCGTGCTTTTCTCATTGATGTGGTGTCTATTTGGGTTAGTGTTAAAATTGGCTGAGTTGAGTTTGAATTAAACAATAAATTCACAGTGGATGCTACAAAAACTAGTTTTATTACACTAACGTTGAAACCCATAAGTAATATAACATCTTCTCAACAAGCTTTAATTTCATTGAAGTACTGTACTGGCGAAATTGTTCCGTTTTACTACTGGTCTTTTGAACTGTGATCCTCTCGTATTCTAGAGCCCGCGATTATTGCGCCCGCTTCTGTTATGCTGCTTTACTTCATGTAGCCCTGGCAAAATGAACAGGAACTGGAGGCGAATGCTAAATTGTCAAAACAACGTATGTCACGAGAATTACAACGATCAGCGACAAACTCGGCAATTGTTTGGGGCAACTAGAAGCTCCCATTTCATTAATATGTATTGAATCAAACGAATTTCATTAATATTTGTCATATGAGCCCTATTTGAAGAATACAACTATTAAAATACTTCAGAAACCGGGACAATAAGAAAACCGGGACACCGGGACAACATAGTCCAAACCGGGACAGTCCCGGGTAAACCGGGACGGTTGGAATGTTTGCTCAGTAGTCTGGGACCAACCAAAATGCCCTTTTCAATGTGCCATTTTGTGGAGACAATTTTTTTACTGAGAAAAGATAGGAGCACGCATTCTATGTCTATTATTTCTATGGTATCAGGTTGTAATGTTGTTACCAAATTATATTTGTTGCATATAAATATTGCAATATAAAATCGCTTTTCACCCTTATAAATATTTCACAGTTGTGCCAACAGCCATGTCAACTAAATGTTTTTGGACTTTATCCTTTAACCCATTGAGTCACATTGCGCCCTTCTTTATTATTTTTACTCTGTTATTTTATAAAACCATATAAGTATGTTTAAATAATAAAGAATTGCGGTTATAGCTTATTCATATCTCATCTCATTCCCACATTATAGCACTTTTTTATATTTCCAGTTATGACATCACTGGTTGTGCTTGAGAAGGAAGCAAATAGGAGAAAGTCTAGTATTTCTGAGGTGCTTTAATTGAGAAATGCCTGGTAACTTGGAAATGATATAAATAAACTTAAAGCCATTCGTCACTATTTTGAACATACTCTGAAGTGATGGAATTTAAAATAGGGACAAAATTTCGTTTCATAAACACTTTCATCATTTACAGGATTTTATTGGACGAAACATTGGTGCAAAAGCTTGCCATTCGATGTTTGCGTAGAGGTATTGGTAGCATGGACTACATTGATATGTTGCTGATTATGGAAGATGATCTGGACAAGAATCAGGAGGATGGTGATCTTCGTGAGTTTGGTGAATCATCAATGACAGGGGATGACAACAATTATCCACCTGAGCAAGACTCATCCAGGGAACCCAAAGGGGATTCCTCAAATAATAGTACTGTTAATACACCAGATTGGTGTGTTTGTGGTAGATGTAGACAATGCCCCAGGAAGTCGAAAACAAGTGCTGCAAATTAAAAAAATGCATAACACTTACTTCGCATTTTACCAAGTTGTGTCTTGATCCTGATGTTCTGGAGTTATGTATCAGAAATAGAGCAGACATAAGAAATGACCACGAGGACAATAGCACGAGGGCTTTCCGAAAAGCTGCCTACAGGCAATTCATTCTAGCACACCATGGTCATCTGGGTAAGGGGAACAGATGAGTCTGCCCTTCATGCGTCGTATTAAAAATAAGGGAACGTTTTCCATCTGTCACTGGAATTTACATGGGATTTAGGGAACACTGATATTTTGTATAATATAACGTCATTTTATAGCATATCTAAATATATTTGTAAGCACAATAACAGTTGATATATGTACAGTGTAAAAAGGGAATGGACAAGTATCTGACTATTCTATTATGAATCTGCTCCTCCTCTCAACAATTTCATTTGTAGGTGGTGGTGGTATGTGGGCAATAGTTGGGGAAATTAGAGCAGGGTCACTTGTGTTCAAATCAATGGCTCTTGTTACACCTCCAACATCATCATCATCCACTCTTCTCTTTAAAATTTTGGAAATGAGCACTGGGATGTAGTCGTATCCTTTCTCAACTTTCACCGCCTTGCAATCCCATTGTCGGGTCCTGGGGTTATACTTTCTTGTAACAATATCACCACCAGATTTTGTTTTGGCCTGGGGAAGGTTTATGTGGATGTTCCAATCTATGGCTGTGAGCTGTCTTCTTGCTTTGTATGCACTGTATCTAAATTAAATCCATTTCATTTTTCAGAATGCAGTTAACCTTATATTTAACCCTTTTAAAAGTGGCAATGTGCCCAGATGCACCCTACTTTATTATTTTACTCTGTCTGACGCCATATTATTTTACTCTGTCTAACGCCAGACAATTTTACTTGATAGGGGGAGAGTGCTCCACTCAATGGGTTAAATCGTTTGTGCACAAAAATATCTAATCCCATTATTTGATGAATATGCTGGTCTCTAGTATTTTTGCACACGTGAATATAAGAAATCCAATGTGGATGTGGTATTCCCTTTATTCTGATGCACCCACAGATGAATATAAAAAATAAATTAATTAAAATAAATTCAGTTTAAACAAACACAAAAGGCTTGTGTAAAATACTAAAACAATTATTTGCCTCAGGCTCAGTGATCGTAGGGGGATATTCACCTCCACTTTGTCTCGGTGAATATTCCCTAATAATCACCTCTCATTCGGCAAATATTTATTAAACAGGAGATTGGGGTGCATTGCATACAGTATACTAAATAAAAGCTTACCTGAAAGGTGTCCGTTTTGGGATGTAAACTAAGCCAAGGCTGTTTGCACACTCTATACCACCTGTATGTCTATATAACAAAATGAATTTATTAATCAACTTGTCATAAAAATTGATTGTCAACATTTTTTTCTATACCTGAAATGGGTATAGTACTTGAAACGTGCAAGTAACTCGGGATTCAAGATGATCTTTTGCAATTCTTGATAGTCTTTATCCCAACGATCAAACCATGGTAGCCTTTCGTCATGTTCGTCTTCTTCATGATCACATTGACCTTCCAGCCACTGATGCTCATTACAGATGTGATGCAGTAATCCAATCCATTTGTCCTAAACAAAATCATAATATATACATTAACATTTTACATATACTGTTATAATACAAGAATACCTTCATAACTTTCAGTGCTTCTTCATCAGAGGTTTCATTATCCTGTCTGCATGTACTTGAGCAATGCCAAAAATGCCTGATAATGTGTGCTGCCCAATCCTTGACTTTGTGCATCGCTTTTGGTTTACCCAACTAAATTGATATAAGTCATAAATCAATAACATGTACATGTTATGCCAAACTGCACATACATACATACATACATAGGGGCTACTTAGTCATGGGTTTACATTACTGGGTTTATCACACACACCAAAGGCTTGACTCATCACATCACAAGGAAACCTTATACTGTACAAACCTTAGCCAGACACTTCTTTATGCTTTTTGATTTGTGCCAAACATCCAAGCTATGGATCATGTCTGGGTATTCATTTGCTAAAATAATTAAACAAGAACTTCATGAATGAAATGAATACCATACACCCAATACTCTTTATACAAAATGCAGATGCACCAGACTCATTCATGGATGGGTTCGAATGCTTGCATGTAACAGCAAAACTGTAATTTCTCTGTTTTTAAGGGGGCTTTCATTTATTAGAGCATAGGGAGGGGGGGGGGTGATATGATTGCAGGGGATTATGAAGTTTTCAAATGTTCCCAACAGGGTTATATAATACAACAACTGATGTCAGGGAGTTGTCTAAATCAATTTTGGTTTTCTTATATTTATAACTCGTATATATATTTAAGGGGCATGGCAAGGTGAGATGTCTACATGGCCATTACACTGTTGATTTTTCTAAATTTTAAAAACGTAAGACAAACTAAAAATTGAAATGGTCGTTTCCGATGATCTAGATGAGAGAGGGTTACTAAAATTTGACAATGAATGGAGGGGAATTTGAATAAATGAAAACCCCTAACCAAATGAGGTGAATTTCAAAGAATACTGATTATCTTACCAAGAAATGCTTTTATAGATGTAGATGCATCAGTGACCAACTCGACCACTTTCACATCGTCTTGAAGACGAGCCAGGCTTCGCTTCACTGCTTCTTTCTCCATATTTGTTGAGATGAGGCCAACGTGCCTCTTGTCCAAGATTTCAATGTCAAGAATATAACTGGAATTTACCTCTACCATGAAGTAGCATAGATTCTTGGCATTGAAGCCTGGAGAGTCACATTGACCATCACCACCAACAACAACATATCCTGGTCTGAAAATTCACTGATGAGTTCTCGCCTCATCCAGCACCACCAGTCATTTATCTCAGGAATCAGATAGAGGCGTTGAAATCGGTAGTAGCTGGACTTGGACAGAAATTCCAGATTTAAAAAATTTGCCAAGCGTTTCATTTTTGCATAGTGGCTTCCAGATAGTATAATTGAAGCAGCAGTCTGGAGATTGTTGACAAAAAATGTTATTGACTTCGCCTGAGGAACAAAACTTGTTCTTATGACCGAATGTACATGTAGGGGTCACAAAGAGAGCCATACCAACAAAGTGGTATTTTACAGTTGGTACAGCAGTACACCCAGGTGTCTGACATCGAGTTTTAAATACCTCAAGAAACAAACTAAGTGTGCAGACAAATTTTATGTCCTGTGCCATTCTATATTCTTCTTTAATAGCACACATGTCATCTCCTCTACTAAGTTTGCGGTGTGGCCCAAAGGGAATAAGGGAAGTGGGTGTGGCTTGTACCTGCTGCAATGTGGATGAGACATCCACATTATCATCAAAACAGGTCTCATCATCAAAACAGGTCTCGTCATCAGGCATTTCGTACATACCAGCACCTTCATCTGCAGATTCAGTTGAATCGCTATCTATTGTGCTTTCAACATCACTGTATGTGGAACTACAACAAGAAAACCATATGACATTTAAAAAAAGGTCTTATCTGGAATCTGGATGCACATAACTGAAAGTATATCAATATATCTTTAACAGAAAATCCCTTAATATTTCCTAAACATACAGTATTTACTTGTAAACCTCATCCATTTTGACATTCTAAGGCTTATATTTAAATGCTGACCGTATAAGATAATGGATATATCATACTTTGAATTATTGTCCCTTTCCATGTTTTCATCAGTATTCAATTCCTCAATCACAGACTTGGTAAGGTCATGAAAACTGTAAGTAGAATGAAATTATTTAAAAATAAATATAGACACATTTTAGCTGCTGTAAACAAACTGCATATTTTTTAAAAGTAATAAAACCAGATGTCAATTAAAAATACGACTATAAGTAGTACCTGACATCCTGGTCATCATCACTGTCATCAGTGGTTAACTCGTCATCCGTAAACATTGAAGTGTTCAGCATTTTGGATGAGTCTAATGGTTCACTACTCAAACTAGATATTTATAAAAATAAATTTTACCCAACATAAATGACAGTTCATTCAGTTGAATAAATCTTTTATATAATATAATTTATGGTGTAGAACTTGAAACATTACTGCATTGAACTTGTTAGTCTGGTGACTGTGCAAACATTAAAACCCCATAAAAAAGTCAGTGTATATAATTATTACCTTTCATGAAGAGATGTGTCAGCCTCCATACAAATTGACATTGCCATTTGCTGTCCTTCCACAATTGGTGACACATTACAGGATGGCATGATAGTCTCAAGATCTTTCAATGGAGTAGATGCCTCCCAGTCTAAAAGTTATTTGTTTTTCCTTTTTATTTTGCCTTTAAAATATCAAATGTACTGGGCATTCACTTTTAATGTTATTCTTATGAAGAAAAAAGCACATCACAATTCACAAAGCAACCACACTGTCACTGTACGTACTCAACAATCAACATTCAAAGTTTCAAACTGAAGCATTGAATTATATTGAAGAGTAATATCCAAGGCTTAATAGTGTTTCATCACTTATTTTAGCTGTTTATATATTAGAATGAATTCAGGTTACCTGGAATAATGCCAGAAGTCTGTGGCAAATCATCTACTTCACTGCCAAAAGCATGCAGTTGGTCACGTTTTGGTGCAGCCATTCGCTTTTCTTGTCGGGATTGATTTAGGTCCTCTCTATAAACGACCAGAAATATAGTCAAGCTCTTTATAAATATATGTATCCATAAACGAAACAAGTATGAATTACTCTGCTGTATCTTTACCTTCTACGATACTCCAAGGACAACAGATGGGATGCAAAATCGCTGTCACTACATCGTTTTTTGCTTCCCTCCATGCCATAAATACACTCAACGATAAGTATACTCATTTATTTTGACTGCTAAAGTTTTCTGAGCCCGGATACTTTCTTTTTCTGCCGGAATTATCGCGCTTTCCGCCGTGCGTTCCCACACGAGCGGACGCCATCTTGGATTTGTTCAACTTGAAGAAACCGCCTGTTCTTTCAAGTTTTATGTATGCGCAGAAGAGATGCGCACGCGATGACACTGCTCCTTTAACCCTGTGGTTCAAGTACATAACACTGCCATGCTTTCTGCCATGCCTTCTGCAATGTGCAGTGGCTTTGTTGTCAATACATAGTCTGCGCAAAGACTGTCCCTCCCCCCCCCCCCCCGTGGTGGAAGGATAACAGTGTGCGACCATTTGTCACTGCTGTAGAGTGATGTAGTCGTATAAATAGATATAATATTGTGCACTTCAGCACTTTAGTGGCTTTCTAATTTTATTATCCAATCAGGTGTGTTACTTTAAATAGAACTTTATATTATGTAAACAAGGTCAATAGAAAATAGACAAGGTCAAGCGAAACAATACAACAAAATCGAAACATAAACTCGCAAAAAAATATGCCAGATTTGTAAATTCTACCAAATTTATTCATCCCAAAAAATTAAATGCTCTTTTGCATGGCACTGTCTGCCCAACAGCACCCAGAAACTTTATGTAATTGGTAAAACCGGTATACTCGTCTTGAAATTAGCTAAGCAAATTTATGCAAGTATAATTTTGAAACGAACCAATGAAAACCTGCCAATCATATTTCGTCGGTAGCTGTACGGCATTAGCGTCTAATGACAGCAGACTGTAATCCCCAGGAGAGCGGGATGCAGTCTGCGAGCAGACTAGTCAATACACTGCACTAGGACGTTTCATCAATTTTATCTATACTGAGATGGCGCCCTGCCCCTCTCCTACCTATTCTTCTCTTTTCAATTAGCTTGGACTGTACTCTCTGTACTTTTAGTTTAACATTTTTCCTACTTTCATTTACTTTCCTTTCTAATGAGGCTTGTGATGTCTTCCTGTCTGTCTGTCAGTCAGACGGCTTTATTTCTTCCCGGAGGTCTTCTAATTGGTCTTTGGTCCACAGGTTTTTTTTCCTTCTAGACGTTTCTCTTTGCTTGCAATTTCCTCATTTAACTTTTTGAGTTGCTCTGCAAGAGCAGTCTCAACTATCTTCTCTGCATCCAACATTGCTTCTTTTTTTCTGATTTATTGCTTGGAAAACCGTTTCTGATTTCTCAGCCACATGATCCACATCAATGCCAAGCTCGGCAATCTCTTTCCTTGATCTATTTGCAGTCAGCCATGCACAAAACACCTGTTTGTCCCATTCTGTTTCAAGTTTGTTTAAAATGTCATGTACATGCTCTTTATCAAAGAGGCTGCTGGTTGATTTTTGATTTAGTGGCGATGCCTGTATTTCTTCAAACACAAATTCCAAATCTACATCATCAGAGTTCATGATAACAAACTCTTCTCCATTTTCACATTTTAATATATACACACACAATCCGTAGCAAGGATGGCATAACAGTTTCTTGAATCTTTCCTTGACCTGTTGTTGTTTCAATGTGGATGGCAAGCTAGTTGGGTCATACAAAATGTAGAGAGAAAATGCTTCATTGAAGGAGAGATAGCTTTGTAGAATATCTTGTGCGCTTGCAAAAGTTCAAGCACAGCATAAATACCTTTGATACCTTTTATACACAAAAGATTTAATGATCTGTGTTTTCTCGAGCCTTTCAATATGCCCCTTCAATACATCTCTGTTGTTTGTCAAGCCACAGGCCTGCAACAACTTTCTTACATATTCCAATTTCCGCGAAAGACGACATATTTTTGCGTGCAAACTATTTGAACTTCCTTCGCCAGGTCCTCTAGTATTTTCAGAATTTGAATTATGTTCGCTTGAATCACATAAAGAATGCTCGTCTATATCAGAATCAGAATTTCCATCTCACTTTCAGGCATCATTTTTTATTTTAATGGCCCAGAGGCCAGAGCTTCCACTTGCAATGCTTTTTCCCAAAAAGGTAAATCTACATTTTGTAAGGGCCTGATACTCAGGTTAGGAAATCTCTTGAAAGGAAATTGAGAGTTTCACTGCACAATTGTGGAAGCACTAGCACTACTTCTTTCAAACCTTGCAAAACTGTTTTGCAAAACACATTTGATTATGTGCATATATATTTGATAGTTCAATGACTTTTAACAATGGAAAAATTTCTCAACTCATATAATTTATCGATGTACATTGAGGCTTTCCGTAAAAAGTTTGGATACCTTGTGGAAATTTAACAGGTTTACACAATTATGTAGTACATACCTTCAAATGAAGCACATAGATTTTCCATGCCCGTTTCCTTTGAGGGCCTTTGAGCCAGTTTTTCACAAAATTGAGGCCGTTTCCCTCGAAATCTGAGAAAACTGTATTTGCCGCCATTGCGAAATATTTTCTGTGCATGCAGGAAGCACACAAAAACGGGCAAAATTTTAAGACTTCCAGTTCAAATTCCCCACCCCGTTATCAAATGCCCCACCCCGTTATCAAATGCCCCACCACGTTATCAAATGCCCCACCACATGGAAGACCTAGAACGTCAAATTCCCTACTCCCTGGAGAAGACTTGAAGTCAAATTCCTGGGGTGTGCCCGGGAGGGGGATGGTGAAGTTTCGAATTGATCGATACATTATAGTTTGTATTTGCAACTATAGTTCGTATTCGCAACATTATAGTTCGTACTCGCAATATTATAGTTCGTATTCGCAATATTATAGTTCGTATTCGCAACATTATAGTTTGTATTCCCAACATTATAGTTCGTATTCCCAACATTATAGTTCGTATTCGCAAGTTGAATTTTGGCGGATGAAGGTGTCAAATCTCCGCAAAATTCAAGTTTGTAAATTAAAGTTCATATTTGCAAAAATTCGCTACAAGTGGAAACACTGAAAAGCAACAGTGCTTGGGGGCTTGGATTCTCTCATCCAGCTGCGACTTTATACTGTGTTATCTTTTGGCAATTTGCCTATTAAAAATGAATCAAGACGATATAAATATGGCGAGGGAAGCGCTTTTGCAGGTGGCAGATTGCCTATACATGTGATTTTAGGTCCCAGTTACATGATACCGGATTCACATCTTACAACTTTTCATATTTGAAGTTTTTGACTAATTCTGTTATATTATCTACCCTGGATTCAAGAGCCTTCGACAGTAAATAATAAATTGAAACGTCGCGAAGGCTATGGTTCAACAGGGAAACCTGAGAAAATCTGGGCTTAAGATATGTACAAGTTTATAAGTTATTTCTACATATCTAATATGCATGGTAGAAAAGTAAAAGTATTTTTGGATGGTTAAGTCTGTGTGCGTTTTTTCATAACATAGCTCCAAACTATTAAAGCTTCAAAGGCCCATCTACAGGATGCAAGTTGAACATACTGTGTATACGATGATTTTAATGTGAAAATGCCAGTTCGGAGAGTCTAGAGTTTAAAAAAGAGCATCTTTAGAGGATCACAAACTAATCTACTCAAACTTAAATTCTGAGTCAAAGATCAGTCAAAAGCCCATATACTTAATACTATTTTTGATAGTAAATTATATTTAAAACAGTTTCAAAATTTGATTTCTGTATTTGCATGTTTATAAAATATTTAGATAACGAACGGAGAATAATAGAAAATTATTTCCATCTCGGCTTGAAATATGACCTTATTACTCATCTGCTCAAAAATGAACATGAAATAGAAATGACTGTCCGAACACTGAAAGACATTTGAAATCATACCAACTGTCACATCGAAGTGAAAACACACATTTTTGTGAGGAGCATGTTAGAAACCTTATTAGCCAAGAAATGCAGGTAGCAGCTGCAGGTTCTTAAGCCGGTTACAGGAAGATGTGGCATATTCTTCGCATAAAACATCATTTACATGTACCACGGAAGCTTGTGGCGACAATCCTGCGTGAAGTTGATCCTGAAGCAAGTGATATGAGGAGAGAAAAAAGCTGAGGAGGCACCAATATCTCTCGCAAGGTCCTAAGCAGTGCGCCATATGGACTATATGGTATGTGTGTATCACAGCATGTGTACCTCATTTCATGTTATGTAACATCTAGTAGGGATTAACATGTATGTGCCAGAGATGAATAGTAGTCTATTACTTGAACAATACTTCACTAACTTTTTGTGATAAAATAACATAGTCCGTTAGGTATGTGGCATTTCTATAGCAGTTTACATCACAAGAAATGTATGCGTAATGTATGTGTCACATGTCTGGTAGACTAGTTGTGAAAAACAGATGGTTTTGTTGTTATATAATAAGAGTTCATGTACCATCCGGTAAATATCTGGCAGATCAACTTAGACAGAGCAAATAATCTGGCATTACACAAAGTAAAATAATAAATAATACTATAATAGGTTTATATTATTGTAATTATCAAGATTTTGTTAGCATCTCACTTGATTCAATAGTTGAAGGGTGTTAATTGTTGATGGAAAGTGGAAATTTATATATATTTTATTAAACCTAACCTGGAAAGCTTGGTTGCTTAGAGCACTGCACCAGAATCACAAAGTTCAATTCCAGGGACCTAAAGGTTGCATTTTTTGCAGCTGTTCCTGGTTAGGTCTAACAAAATGTATATAAATTTCCACTCGATAATTTCCATCAACAACACCCTTATACTAGAAGTTACTATCGCAAGGAAAGTGCTGCCTCACCCCCAAGGGATCAATACAATACAATACAATACAATTTTATTCAGTACCAGTAGTAATACATACATAAATATAAAATAAAGATAAAGTTACGAAAAGAAGGTACTAGCTAACTGTAATAACCAAAAGGCTAAATCGAGACAGTCAGCGAATTTGATTAGTAACAAAATATATTTTAGTGAGTAAACTGAATAAATAAAACACATGCAATAAAGATTTCAAAATGGACAATTTTGATGCTATAAGCTAATATGAATTCAATACATTATTTTTAAGTTTGTGTTTAAACTGTGATTTACAAAGACCCTTAAGATTTTCGTCAATTGGATTCCACACATTACTGCCAACAAAACGTATATTAAATTTTCCATAGTTGGTTCTTACTTTTGGAAGGGAGTATGACGATCTCGAAGCAAG